ATTAACTTTGATCTTTTTATAATAAGAATAAAACTAAACAATTTTTGAGATACAAAATGAAGTATTTGAGCCACAAAGAATAAACCTTATGAGTTAGTTATGAATCCTTTTATTATTTCTCCTAATTTGTAAAAGTATTAAAGTAAATAATTTAATCTCTTACTTCAAACAAATAAGAGTCAAAAGCTTAAAACGAGTAAAAGCACAAAGAAATATTTTAAAATAAAACATTTTAGGAGTAAGTTAAATAAAAAATATCACAAACAAATCAATCAACTAAAATCACTACTTTCCACGAGCTAATAATCTTTCAGAAGCATCTCCATACCTCTCTCCTTTTTTATTTTTAAAGGCATATTCAACACTGATTTGTTTACCACCCATCATTTGCCCATTCATATTTGCAATGGCTTTATCAGACGCATCAAAATTATCATAACTTATAAATGCAAAGTTTTTTCCTGTTTTTTCATTTTTTTCAATTTTCACTGAAGAGATAATATTACCAAAGTTTCTAAATGCATCACTCAATGCAATTTCACTTACACTATCATCAATACCACTAACAAATAAATTTGCCCCAATGTCTACAGATTTCTTTAATTGAATGTTTCTACTAAATTTTACTTGTTTGCCATATAACTTAATATTATCTCCAAATACTTTTACAGCATAGTCTGCGTCGTAGTCATGTTGAAATTCAACATAAGCAACTCCTTTATGTTGATTTGAGATTCGATCTCTTGGAATAGAGATATTAATAACAGGCCCTGCTTGAATCATTAACTCATATAATAATTGTTCATCAACTTTTTCGTCAAGGTCACTACAATACACTATAGCTTCAAAATTTTTGATATTAGGCATTCCTCCATAAGAACCCATTTTTTATTTCTTTTAAGATTATCCCACCTTTTCATTAAAAAACTATAAGTAATTAAATTCTAAATTATTTAGTTACAATAATTGTTTTTTATTTCTTTTCAAATTTAAATTTACTGAATTTACTTAATGATTTACTACAGGTTTTATCATCACCAATATCATCCAGTAAGTCAATCTCATTTTGTAAATCTTTGCTTTGAACTAACTCTTCTCTCCCTAACTTCCTTTTTTCTATTCTGTCCTCTTCTTCTTCTCTTAACTTTTTTCTTTCATCATAGCTTTTAATAACCTCCATCATCCCTTTAACAAATTCTCCCATTTCTTCTTCTCCAATATCTACTTCTTTTGTACAATGATCAAGTTCTCTTGACTTCCCATCTAATACTTTACCGACAACATCCAATTTCTTTTCAATAGTATTCCATATTTGTTCATCATAACTCTTATTAGCAATTAAATATTCTATCTTAACTGAGTCAGCCTGTTGTCCAATTCTATGTACTCTATCTTCAGCTTGTAACATTTCACCAGGAACAAATGTCATCTCTGCAAATATACACAACGCAGCTTTTTGAAATTCTAATCCACAATTTGCTGCTAATATACTTAATACAGCAACACGACAATTATCATCATCTCTAAAAATATCAACAAGTTCTTTCTTGTTTTCTGACTTTGTCTCACCATCAATTCGAATAAATTGTACTTTTTTTCTTTGTAAGTTATATACAATTCCATCAAGAACATCTCTATGATGTGCAAACACTACAACTTTTTTTATTCCAGAGTCTAATACATCATCAAGATATGCTTGTATCAGTGGTATTTTTGCTAGTCCTGTTGATCTATGTAATTCAAATACTTGTTGTCTTTTTTGTTTTACTCCTCGAGCATTGTCTAAATCTTTTTTCATCTTTTCAAGGCATTCTCTATACTCATTTTTATCTAATTCTCCAAGATATACTTTTTCTCTTATTTTTGGTGGAAGTTCCTTTAAAACATCATTTTTAAGTCTTCTAATCATAACTGTAGTGAGCAAGTATTTCAATTCTTTCTCATTCTTCATAGAAAGATAATTTTTATACCTAGTTCCTGTTTCTTCACAATACCGTTTACCAAATGACTCTTTTGTTCCAATGTCTTTTATCAGTACACTTAAAATATTATATAATTCCATCGGCCTAGATAATGCTGGTGTTCCTGATAAGAAGATAACTTGTTTTGCTTTCTTACAAACATCTAACGTTTCTTTACTTCGTTTGCTTGAGTCTGTTTTAATAAAATGACATTCATCACAAATTACCATTGGAAATGCATGAGAAAACATATTCCCTTGAGTATTTGCCATAGAGTTGTATGAAATAACTACAAACCTAGTATTAGGCACTTCTATGTCTTTTGGTTTATAAACGGCAATATCATTTGGATCAACATCAAGCCATCGTTGGATTTGATCACACCACTGATACACAAGACTGTTAGGAGTAATAACTAATATGTGCTCATTTTCTGGATATGCTGAAACAAGTGCTAATGCTTGCAGGGTTTTTCCTAATCCCATTTCATCTCCAATCAAAAGTCTTCCTTTCTTTCTTAACCCAAACTGTACTCCAATTCTCTGATATTCAAACATTGTATTTCGTAATTTACTTGGAATACTTTTATATCTATCAAGATCTCCTTGTTCTTCTTTTCCATCTAAAACAAGAAGATCTCTAACACATTTTGTAATTGGTTCACATGTTAATAATGGTCTTTTACGACAAATGTCCAATGCACTTTGATAATCCTTAAATGAAATTTTCATTTCTTTCTTTTCTTTTCCAAGAAGCTCAAAATTAATATGACTTTCTTTAAATTGTTCCTTAACATCCATAAATCTGTTAGAAGAGAAATTTAAATGAACTTCATTATCTCCTTCTCCAGTAAATACAACGTTTGTCATTCCAACTCGTCCTCCTCGTTCATGTAAATTTGATTTAACTGGTAACGTTGAATTTGAACTTTTTTGTTGAATTACAACAGACGAACTTGCTGAAGCAGAGGGAATTAATGTTGGAGTCGTTTGATGAGACAACGAAAAATTTTCTTCTTCTATACATCTCGCTTTGCATTCAACTTGTTGTTGTGGTTGACTAATTTTTTGAGAAGACCCAATTGGCTTAATAACAATTGTTTTTTGTGAAGAAAATTGAGTTGTATGGTTCAATCCCTTATTTGGTATTGTTTTTATTGGTGTGATTACTGAAGATGGTTTAGATGGTATAACAACTGTTGTATGAGAGAGTTGTTTTTGTAAAGTTTGAGTATTGTGACGTTGGTTTAATTGAACTTGAGAAGCCTTTGGAATAGAAATGATCTTATGAGTTGAAGACGTGTGTGTCAAAATAGGGTTCTTTTCTGTAGACTTTCGTTGACTAATAGTTATCGGAGTAGGAATTTTAGTTTGTTGTTTATCATTATCAAATAATGCTAAAGTAGCATCTATATTGAAATCATCACTTTTTGTTGGGGTTTTAAAAGTCGAGTTTGTTTGAGAAGATATAGTCTTATTTTCTACTGAAGAACGATGAATTGTTTGAGTTGAACCTCTTTGTGATGGAGGTGGTATTCTTATCATCCCACGTTGACTAGGGATATTGAGGAGTTGCTTCTTGTCTGTCATAACTTCAAATAAGGTTTTTAGTATTTTGTTTTTCTTCTTTTTCTCATTTTTATTTTTAACATAATTTCTCAATTTTCACCATCCAACCTTTTTAACTGCAATTGAAAAAAGAATATTTGAATGACAGAACAAACCAATAATAAAGAGAAAATCATTGGAATTGTTAATGAAATAGTACAAAATACATGACCCAATTAAATCAGTATAGTAAGAAGTTTTCTATCAATAACAAAGAAAAATAATGACTTTATTATATTTTATTGTTATATACCTTATTTACTTTTTCACGCAACAACAATGCATCAAACTACATTCATAATTTAACAGTACAAAATAATATAAGTTAATTAAATAGCTAAAATTATTTTTTAATTTTATTTTTTTTTTACATCTTTAATATATGAACAGTAAAGAAAATGAATTACTATAATAAATAGAAATACTATTTTATACAGAGTCTCTACTATTTTAATTTAATGATAGCCTAAAAAGGGCTTTATTAGAAAGAATTACTTACTTATTCAACCAATGAACTTATTATGTGGAGTTAAATGAAAAATTTAAGAATGTGTTTTTTACTTTATTTATTCATATAAATTGTTCAAATAAAAATCTAACTAAGCATAACAATACATCAACATATTTTTTTTATTTTAAATTCATAGAATATAACACAATTTGAATTAATGTTAATAAAAGTCAGTATGTTATTCATTTTATATATAAATATTCTTATCCTTGTAATTAAATAATAACTTTGTTATTTATATTGACATATTTTAAAATTCTAATTCTTAAATTAATTCTTATTAAATATTCTTATTAATTAGAATGAAAATAATACTTAATAACTACATAATAAATTGAAGTAAATACAATGAATTTCAATTTATTGGATTAAAATATTCAGTCATAATATTCATTAGAATTAATGGATAAAACTATATGAATATAAAAGTCTTATCTTAAACTTTATTTTTATTTCTTCTTATTTTAATTTTATAGTTTTTAACTGAAATTATAATATTTTCCTTTTCTTCTAATCCAAAAAAAACTATTTTAATTAATACTATTATAATTACTTGATAAATTAGACTCAAAATGATTAATTTATTTGAATTAATTAACAAATAATTTAATTCAAAAATCTATTTCTAGTTCTTTCTATTTTTAAAGATTTTATAAAATAACTAAAAAATAACGTATAATTCTTTAACAATTATATTTATTACAACTTCATTGATTTAGTAGTAAAGCCAACTTCATTTTTATTATAATGATGAAACAAAAAAATGAAAGAGATTATGAAAAACACATAAAAAACCTCTTTTTATAATGTAAAGAAGAAATTATTTAACAAAAAAATAA